CATCCGGTTAATACCATCTTGGGAGGGGTGTGGTGGCTCCTGACTGTAATCCCACCATTCAGGAAGCCAAGTCAGCAGGAATGTGAGTTTGATAGATAGCATCCTTTCTTTGCAACAAACAAACAAACAAAATCTTGGGCTACTGTTTCAAAGTTGTTATATAATTCTTAACATTTAAATGGTAAATGCTAAACTGGGCATGGTGGCTCCCATCTGTAATCCCAGCACTTGGGTGACAAAGGCTGGCCCACCTCTGTGAGTTCAAGGCCAGTCCGGTCTATACAGTGAGACCTAGCTCAAAGGAAAACACCAACAACCCGTATAGACAGAGACGTGTAGGTGTGTTAGGCTGTACAGGGTAATCTAGTGATATTAGCTCTGTGATGATGGCGACAGTGAGATATGGGGAAGATTTTACTTTAGACTGAGGAAAACACAGTTGTAGGATTGCAACAGCACCAACGATGCTGTAGAACTCTCTTAGCATTTTTTTTTTTCTATCTCAGGATTGGTTTCCCTATCCTTTGGCAAAGAATGCTTTGTGCAGTGATGGTTCCACTGACATCCTGGTAACAAGACTAGAAAAAAGTCATCCTTGTGGGACCACAGCGCCGCAAATCCTCCTTCTGCATATTCACAATTCACATGATGGAAATAAAATTTATGTAATATTTACACAGCCTTTGAAAACAGTTTAAAATAGCTTCATTTATTTGACTTTAAAAACTTCCTGTATTTAACTTTGCTAATTTCCTGTAACAATGCCATTTTACAATGCATGAGCGTGCGTGCGCACACACACACACACACACATACAGAAAATTTTCCATTTGTCTGCTTATTCTTTCCTGTGTCATTGTGTCAGGATTTATATCAAGCCTTAATGACTGATCAAGTCCTCTCTCAGGCAATACATTTCCTTCTTGAAACACCATAGATTTTCCCCCACAGTATTTTTTCTTGTTTAATGTAAGAATTGTTTCCAAATATAGAGACTCAGATTTTTGCATCAGAATTATTTAATGCTCTAAATTCATGGAGATAGATTGACATATTCATCTAAACAAATATCTCTCTAACAGACCAGACCTTCGTTTGTTCTAGTCGTTGCTTATTGAAGAAAAACCCATTTTTCGAGTATTAAAGGTTTTCTTTACATAGGACTCGTTTTTCTCATTGGTGTTATTGAGATGGTGAGCTGAAAGAGAGTATTCAGAAGAAAGCACCCTAGTGACTTATTTCCACATTTGTTTCTGTGTCAGCCTGTGATTGATCTCGACCAAAAGATCTCCGAGATGACTTCCTTTGGCTTTCCAGGTCAATTTGCATAAGAGAGATCTTCTAGATGACTTCCCTTGGTTCTCTAGGTTAATTTGCATGATAAGAAAGTCATGATATTGTTCCTTCTCTACTATTGCTAATTTTTTGTGGGATTCCATGTATTGCTTTAAAGTATGAATGCCATCGGGCACCGAGTTGTTTTCTTTAGTGATGCAGAGGGTGATGGCAGTGCGTTACCATCAAATATCATGTTGTAAATGGTTTGAGGTGGGCACTGATTATCTCAAGGAATTATCCTCGGAGTCCTAGCTCACACCTATGCGTTATACAGGAATGGGTTTCATTTTATCATGGCCTTTCATATCTCTGTCCATTCAGTATCAATCTTTGGGAAACAGTTATTATGCCAACTGCTGACCGCTAAAATGTCTTTATAGTCTCCATTAATCCAAGTTAACTACGGTCAGTTACTCTTTTTTTGTTGTTGTTGTTTGTTTGTTTGTTTTTCGAGAAAGAGTCTCTCTGTGTAACCCTGGCTGTTCTGGAACTTGCTCTGTAGACCAGGCTGGCCTCAAACTCAGAAATCTGCCTGCCCCTGCCTCCTGAGTGCTGGGATTAAAGGTGTGCACTACCACCCAGTTTACTCTTAAATTTACAAAAAATAAGGTTTATTATTATTACATTTAAGAACTTATCTCCTTCCTCATTCCTCACCATTGTTTCGTGGAGATGGTTGAGCAGGGAAGAACATTTGACTCAAGAGGGTGACAGGGGGAAAGATCTTTTCCCAGTGGATTTAGTTAGAAAATTGCATATCCCTTTAAATGTTCCCAAACCTTTGTTCTAATATATAGTGTTAGAAATGAGAACTCACTATAGTTTTGACAAACTAACCAAAAAAATATGTATTCTAGAAACTCTTGTTGAAATTTGTTACTTTGTTAAAGGATGCTATTATGTGTAAGGTTTCTTTAAAGTTTTTACGTTTACAATTTATTTTTGACAAAATTTAGCTCTGCTAAAATGACTCCATCCATTTTCTGGCAATGATCAAAATGAGCACTGTTGAAAAGGGATTAAAAATGAGCACTGTTGAAAAGGGATCGGAGTTGAGGGAGTCTGGAGAATCAAGCTGAATAAGTTGGTTTTCTTCTGGGTTTCTTAGAGTCCAGTGGAATTTGAGTGGGAAGGGGAGAGCATGGGGTAGAGGGTGGAGCCTGTCAGTGAGGACCTGGTGCTTGCCACCGTGGGTGGACAGCAGAAGACAGCCTTAGGCATAGGCCGTTGCCTTGTGTTAGGTGGTTCAGCTGTCCTCCAGCTCCCAGGGGTTTTTGTCTCTTTCTCCAGACTGGAGGAGGGGTGGGCATACAGATGCATGGGCTCTGGAAGTTCAGACTCAGGTCCTCATAAAGCAAGCATTTTCCCTGCCTTCCTTCTGCCCAGCCCCCGTGTGTGGACGGTTTGAGGTTATGCAGGAGGCAGATGATCAATCCACCACATTTGCATCGTGTGTAAGACATAATCTTTGAATCAGGTGATGTGGGTTTGAGTCCTCATGCAGCCTCTTTCTGTGATGTTGGCCCATATTTCTATACATTCTTATTAGTCTGTAGAATGGGATGTTGTAAAAATGAACTAAATGATGTATGTAAAGATGTCAAACTGTGCCTAATATGATCATCACAAAGTAAATTCTGGATACTTATTTTTCCAAAGACTATTCAAACACCAAGGAAACTACACTTACTAAAAATCACCCATAAGCCAGTCAGTGGTAGCACACACCTCTAATCCCAGCATTTGGAGGCAAAAGCAGGTGGATCTCTAAGTTCAAGGCCAGCTTGATCCAGGATAGCTGGGCTACACAGAAAAACCCTGTCTCAAACAAACGAAAATTACCTATAATGTCAAAGTATTTTTAAGTGAATATTAGTTTTCTTCAGATAGTTTGGGGTTTCTGAACTGCTTGTGCAATAAATATACAAATTCAAAAAAGGATCTCTACAACATAGAATTTAATTCTCATATTAAAATCACAGAATCCATTAACAAGCTCTCAAAGAAATTAATCGGGCTTTGAACATTTGGTTTTGAGGAGAGGCATTCTGAAATCTAGAGGTCCTCTTGCCAGGAGACTTTCATCCAGCTCGTTTGACCTCCAGGTCAACAGTACAAATTTTGGGGAGGGCTGATGAACTCAGTTTCAGAGGACATGTCACTAACAGCTCCCTTTCTGACTGGAGATAATAACAAGCACCTACTTAGGGAGGAGCCTAGGATGACTGTGCTGTCTGTGTAGGAGAAGCAGAGGAACCCGCTGCCTCTGAGTCCACATCTGCATGTCCAGCAGGCATCTAATAGGAGGGACCCAGTCCCTCCTCCTCTTTCCAACAGCTTGTGTGCCCAAGCACCCGCCGACACAATTCCTAGATTATGACCTTTAGTTTTGTCTTATTAATCCACTCACTTAGAAAATCGCTTCTTATTAAGGCAAGATAGCAAAAGCTTAACTAAGCCAATGATATCATGGTATTTCATTTTACACAACCTCTAAAAACACACAAATATCTCATGTGTGTTCCCATGAGCTTCATGTGAGCTTCTAGGTGTGCTCCTCCACTCTTCACATCATGTTGTTAAATAAATAAGTGTACCACAGAACCACTCCTCTGGCTTTTATTTTTTAAATGCAGCTAAACTGTGTGAGGAGTCACTTTTGAAAATAAGATATATTTCACTTAAAGATGTTCTACAGCCTCCAGGGTCCCCCAAACTTTAGCAGTCCATTGTTGTCTTCTGAACCCTCTGAACAGGGTGCTGTTAGGCAGTGTAGTCCTTGGCAGGGTGGTTTGCAACAAAACCACTTTTGAGACTGTTGAATTCAGAACACTCATTTAAAATGGTGTGGGTTTTGGAAGCAGCGTTATAAAGTAATTCCTAGGTAAGGAAGGAGAAGGATGTCTTGATTGACATAAAGAGAACCGTCTAATGCATCAAAAAGAGTTTTCAAACCGTTGGGTGTGCATCCCTTTAGATCCGAAGCAGTCTGCTGATCCTGGCCTCCAGGTTCAGACTTGCGGCACTTGGCCTGCAACTACAGTTTGCAGTCACTAGAGGTCAGAGTCTGACATCATTGTGAATAGGATATAAGGGACTCGGAGACAATAGTATTTCAGCAAAAACTCTAATTTTCTTGATAAAAATAGAAGAGAAGGGGAAAAAGTGAGACCATTGTTGTAAGAAGAGAGCTGTTGGCACTCGGGAAATAAAAAACAAACAACTGAAATCATTTCGCAAGGATGGAGAGAAAACAAAAAGCCCACAGAGCAATCTGATGATCAAGATTGTGTTGATGTACCATTTCCTTCAAGAAGACTAAACTGTGTTAAAACAATCCCAGCACTAGTGCTAATGGTAGTGGAAACGGCAGTAGGGATCAACTTGTATTGAAGACACGTTAAAACCTCGTTTTAGAGATGAAGGGGCCGGGCATGGAGAGCTGGAAAATATTTACACTTTCTGTAGTCACATTTCAGGGGTTGCCTACCCCCCTCAATAAAAATTCCAGTTGAGGGTGGAGGAAGAGCTGTTGACATGATGTTATATGATTCTCAGCATTATTCATAACTGCAGGATTTGAAAGCAAACTAACTGCCTACTACTAGAATTTCAAAACAAAAATAGCAAATAACATGCGGTTGTTATTATTAAAATCATAAGGTAAGATTTTCGATGAAAAGAAAAAAGGAATCAAGAAAATATATTAGTAGCATATGTAAAACTATGTAAACTATGTGCTTGTATGGGTAAAGATAGCAATCCAAAAAAATAAATAACAGCACGCATGTTGGGATTATAGGGACCATATACAAAAACCAAGGAAAGTCCTGGAGAGCACCGTTAGAACACCTGCCAAGCTGCAGCGGCACACAAGGTACTCCTGGCATTTCAGAGCCTAGACAAACTAGCTCGATTCTCCAGAGAGCACTCATCCGCCCTTAGCGGCTCCCAGACCTTGACTGGCCAAATCCATGCTGCTCAGCTGCGTCCGCCAGCACGCCGCAGATTCATCAGTAATAGTCACTGTTCTTCTTAGGGGCAATAACAACACACCCAATGTAGATACACGTTTTTAAAAAAAAAAGCATTGCTCAGCTTTGCCAACGGCAGTTCCTGGGAATAAAGTGCCACTTCGAATCACCCGATACTTCCAACAGAATGGTGACCTAAAAGAGAACAGAAGGGACAGGCAGATGGGTCTGGACTTGGACGAGCATGGAGACCAACTGTACCACCAATGATGACAGACTCACCTCGCCTTCCAACCGACCCTACTATACCTCTAGGCACAAAACCAGAGAGCAAGGGAAAGGTGACGGTCTCACGGTACTATCCGTACAGAGACGTCGGGTTTGCACATCGGGTCAGTTCTCTGTATGAATTCCTTTCTCTACCCAACCGCTTTTTGTGAGTCCTAATGCTCTCATTGTGTTCACTGGGGAGAAAGATCCAGATTCTTAGTCTCGTCCACAGACTAACCAAATATATGTAAGGCTCAAAAAACCGCAACTATTAAATCACAGCAGTATCTCTTTTTGAGGGCGAAGCTGATGGAGTAGAAAAACTGTGTCCAATCTTTAAAGCCCCTCCCCGGGGCGTGTTACTCACAGGCACACCCTTCCCAGTTAATCCTCCCAACATCCCGCTGCTGGGGGAACCTCCCAGCTGCTCCCCCTGCTTCGCACCGCCCCCCCCCAGCCACACCCACAGCATGCTGGTTATGGAACGTTTTGAATTAGCACTCTTTAAAAACTCCCTCTTTTCCATACGATGGCAGAGAAAACATTACAAACACACATTCCTAGTGCTATGAACAGAGTGAAGCAGAAAAATGTAACAATAGGCGTTCCCAAGTGGCCCAGGGAGGGAGACAGACCAGTAAAGCCTAGACAAACAGTGATAAAGACTGGCATTATGAAGAAGGTGACCCCTTACTCCAACAGGTTCCGACACATAAAAACAACGTGCCAATACAGACAGCAGTGGTCTCACATCAGGGGTTTCCTCAGAGACTATAGAGCATCGTCTATGTGCAGAGAGCTATTCTGGGTCCTTGGGACACAGCTGTAAACAAAGTAGGCAGAATGTCTCTTGGTTTGAAGCTCACATTCCTTCAGGAACTCTGACAGTGCAAGAACAATTCAAAGCAGATCAGGACACAACATATTTTCTTATTTACACGTCAAGGCAATTCTATACAACAGAAATACTGGAAACATTTGTATTGCCATGAGCAAAGAGAGGTGGTTTTTGCTGAAAGGTAAGTGCTCATTTCCAGAGATGTCGGGTGGCATTTACTGCTTTCCAGAGTGGTCAGTTGGCCATTATTTCATTTCCAGAGTCAGGCGGCATTTACTGCTTTCCAGAATGGTCAGTTGGTGGTTACTGCATTTCCAGAGGCAGGTGGTGTTTACTGCACTCTGTTGTTTCTGGTGAACACACAGTAGGTGACTCTGTTGTTTGCAGTAAATGTGTCCTATGTTCACCTCAGTGGTGAATTAGCAATGATGTGCCTTCATTCCTGGGGGAACACCGGCTCAGGTTCCTGGTAGCCTCTGCTGTCCACATTGCCGTCCTCCTAAGAACCTTGGGTATCACATGAATGGCAATAAAAAACCAGCTGCACCCACACTGAAAAGACGCCTCCACTTTTGTACTGCATTCAGCAAGGTTTTAAACTTCTCCTGCAGCCTCTGACTGGGAAGAACCTGCCTTGTCTACAGAGCTAGTTTCCCACATCAGATCACTCTTAGAGATGTTCTGGGGAGACAGCTCAGTGGGCCAAAAGCTTGTCATACAAGCATGAAGACCCAAGTTCAGACCCTCATTAATCACATAAAAAGCTGGGACTGGCCACATGTGCCTGTAACCCCAGCACTGGGAAAGTAGAGGCAGGGGAATGTGGGACCTAAGCATGTGTGCATGTGTACACACACTCACACACACACACACACACATATGTGCAAGCCAGCACTGGCAGAGAGGGGCTTACCAATTTTCTTATTCTGGGAGCTATGACTACATTTCTCTGAGTTTTAACTTCACAGCAACTATGCTTTCTAAAAATTAGTTCTCATCTGATAAACCCCTAATTTTGACCCCCTTCCCTCCTGCTGCTATCCCATCATGCACCACGGTGGTTCCTTGCCCCTTTCCGAAGTACACTTCCCCTTCACATGGGTGAGCACGCTCCTCCTTTTCTATGTGTATGGTATTGTAACGTCACTAGCACGGACTTCACAGCCAATAGGACAATACCTCGTGCCTCAGCCAGCTTATCTGGCAGATGTGCTCTTTACATCATATCACGGCCTTCTTGTGCTTACGGACAGTCAGTACCGCGGTGCCATGCTTGGGACTACTGTGACCAGCGCTGCCAAACAAGAAAAAGTGCCAAGAGGGAGACCGAGAGAGCACTAAGTTGGTGCATCCAGGCACTGGCTTCTCCAACGTGAGAGCCAAATGTTCACCCTAGCTGGGAAAGTGTCTAGAGACTCCACGTCTCTGCCATGACGGATACCCAGGAATGGCTGCCAGACTGCCGGGCTGGCCTTCAGTAAACTGGCAATCCTCAGTGAGGAGGTGACTTTACAGGAAGGAGGGGCAGATGGAGAGGCTGGAATGCACTTGACAGTGGAGATATTTTCCATGTTTCCAAAGGAGGCGTCTTGTGGTCACAGCATGTCAAGCATCCCTCTGGGTGTTAGTTTACAGGGGGATGCTCATAGGCGGGAACTCAGGCTCTAAATCAACTCCATGTGGAGTGTGAAGGAAAACACCCACAGTTAACCCTGAACCGTCCTCGGGGCAGGCTAGCTCTGCCCTCCTGGGGCACTAACTTGCTCACATCACATCTAAGAGGCCCTGATTTGGTGTTGCTCCCTGGGGAACAGTGGAAAGTGATTCTCACCACCCACCTTCTCTAGCTCTGCCCTCCTGGGGCACTAACTTGCTCACATCACATCTAAGAGGCCATGAGTTGGTGTTGCTCCCTGGGGAACAGTGGAAAGTGATTCTCACCACCCACCTTCTCTAGCCCCCTGCTGTGGAATTAACTTCCCTGGAAAAGCTACTAAAGGTAGTGGCTATGAGGCCCACCTTTGAGATCACTTGGGCTCAAGTTCTCAGGCTCACCAGGGGTGCTGTTTACCCGTGAGCCAACTCTGCTTAGCCACCGTGAATGAACAGGAGTAACCAATGGGCTCCAGATATGAAGATCCAACGCCCAGTAAGATGAGAGCCATTTGTGGTCTTGTGTATTGTCGTCTTCTGAAAACTTGTAGATAAAGTCAGTGTCCTTATGTTCTGCCCTCCAAACTAAATTATGTCCCCAAAGGACTGAGAAGATGTCCCGGCGTGTGCATGCCTAGATGAAGGACAGATCTCAGTGTTCCTCCGCGGGCAGCTTCTGTGAAGAATCAAGATGTACAGCACAATTATCCGCTTAGGCCCATAGTTCTCAACGTCCTGGGAGGAAATCTACAATGTTCCCATTTCTGACCTCCTCAGACTCTTCCAATTCAAAGCGGGCAGCTGCTTTTGCTCCGAACTAACCGACTTTGTCACTTCTCTGTGAACAGAAATTTAAATTAAAGGCATAGCTGTAAGCACCTCTATAGGTAAAACTTCCCGGAAACTCAGCTCTCCCTTTCTCATCTTGAAATCTGCTTCTTTGTAATCCCTCTTGAAGCAGGCTAGCACAGGGACGAGGTCAGTGGCCTGGGACTCTGCCGGGTCTGGCCATGCACACTTCTGTTCCAATAATGCTCATGGCAGGTTAGCTCCTTCACAGGCACACAAATCCGTTTCTGAACAAGGCACCTAGCAACCAGTTAGCAACCTAGGACCCCCACCCACATCAAGTTACAGGCACCCCCATCTCTGAACAATGGGATAAGTTCTTTTTCTTTTAATGACTTCTAAGCTTGGTGTGTCTATTCAAAGGTATTCTCAATACATCCTGAAGGTCAAGGATAGGGTGGGCCGGTAGTTACCAAACCCGAGTCGGTTTAAAGTATGTACGCAGTAAAGCAAGACTGTGTTCTCAAGGAACCCCTCAGGGAGACTCAGGGGGAATCTGTTCACCATCTCATGCCTGTTCATAATCGGAAGTGCATATGATTAAAGTCGAATGCAGAAATACATGGTAGGAAAATGATTATAAGACCCAATCTATCAACCAAAACAGAGAACCTCCCTCACTACGGCCCTCAGCAACCAAACTCCTCCTTCTCCTGAATTCCGTAAAAGGAAGCCCCAAACAGTAATCAGGGCCGTTCAGCATCCTCACGCACATGGCCCACTTTCAATCTGGACAGTGTCTCCCACGACATGCTTTGCGAATCACATGATGGAGTCTGCATTCACCCTGTGCTACAGCGTCCTATGTGCTGAAAATACCATTCTAAGGTAATTTTTTATTAAGCCTTGGTGTGTTTTTAGTGTTTTTTGATATCAAGACACATTGTACAAAAGGTTGCAATATCACATGAGAAGGAGCTCCTAAGTAGTGCAGCCCAGAGCCTGGTCCTCAGCCTCGAAGACTTGGAAAGCTGAGGAAAAAAACAAAACAAAACATCTTCCTCACCAATTACTCGCATTAACCAAGTACACGGTAGCCAATTATAGAGCCCATCTGTGGTGGTTTGAAAGAAAATGGCCCCCAAAGAGAGTGGCACTATTAGGAGGTGTGCCCTTGTTGGAGGAAGTGCGTCACTGTGGGGGCGGGCTTTGAAGTCTCCTTTTCTCAAGCTTCCCTCAGTGCGTCTGCCGGTTGACTTCCTGTTGACAAGACCCAGCACTCTGGGCTCCAGCACCGCTCCTGCCTGCACGCTGCCGAGCTCCCTGTTGTGACGAAGATGGACTGAACCTCTGACACTGTAAGTGAGCCACCCCGGCTCAATGTTTCCTTTATAAGAGTTGCTGTGGCTGTGCTGTCTCTTCACAGCCATAGATAGTAACCCTAACTAAGGCACCATCTATTTCCTTAGAGGAAACCACAGACTTCTCAATCTATCAGGCAAGCTTAAACAATCAACTAGTACTTTTCCCTCTTTGGGGGTTGGCATGGAGTGTCAGATAAACCCAGCAAAGGACACATGTCATAGAGTGAATGAGAGATTAGTCAGTAGACAGTGGCCACAAGCACTCGCTGGATAGTAGCTCC